ACTGTATGGCATACAGTAGTACATTCAATGACTCAATTTGAGTGCATTGCGTGCAATCACTGCAGTGTTGTGTACGTTGTTTGTGAACCACTGGTGACTAGTGTTGACTGTTGTTCACCATTCATTGAACCCTCATTTGTGGCCACATTTGACCACAACTGCAACCAATGGTCACTCGATTCATAATAAACAACAATTAGTTTGCATTGAACTCCATATGTGGTAATGTGTGGTCTATGTATGAGTGAGTAGTGACTGTGTGTGTCGTTGTAAACACTATTTGAGTGATTGTATGACATATTGTGATCGCTATCCAAGACATGTCACTATTGTATGCTTTCAATGCATTAGTTGTATGAATAATCAGCTGTTGTGCAGAGTCTTCATGAGACGTGTGATTCAATTGAAATGATTTGCATTTTATGTGACCATTAAGACTGCAATTAATATATTAAACATACATTTAATAATTGAATTATTGTGTGATTTATGAATGCATTCAACAAATGATGATTTCTTCCGTATTATTGAAAACCAATTACTTATGCATTAAATTCAAAGCCAATCAATGATTCAATGACTGAATGCAACACTCATTCAAACATTCAATCAAATCAATGCTTTTATAGCTTATAATTACGACAAGACTTATCGCATACAGTGTCGCATATATTGATCGTTAGCACCGGACACTGGAACCGTTACAGTGATGGCACTGCGAGTGAGAATGTTGTCCATCTTGGATGTGGTCTTAAGAGTGCCGCCACTCTTCATAATGGACTCGATTCTCATCCACTGTTTGGCAACAATTCAACCCATTCTTCACAACAACAACAATCATATAATGACCACAACTATGACCACAACACCAGACAATAGATTCAATACTAATATAATTAATGACAATATTTTGAAACTCAATAACAATATGAATCACTCGTCGGAAGACTGGAAAATAGTGATGACATCTATTAATGGCAGCAAATTGTCTGTCGATGAGGACGACGACATGCTGTCCATGAATTTCAGCACTTTGTCTGTCGTGTGGATTACAGTCTATATCCAGGGTATGTATCACTGAATGACAAGACTGTACTCTAAGACTAATAATGGTAAATGTGGTGATGATTGGTAGCATTCATTATGGCTTTCTCGCTGTTCCTGCTGTCGACCCGACATTTGTTGTCAATCTATGTGTGGTTGGCATCGATTGGAGTGATCCTCTGGTCGTACATCTCTAATGAAGAATATAATAAATACGTCTTCAGTATAAGACATTCAACGCTTGCCTTTGAAATAATTTCACTTAATTTTAGCGCAATCTTCAGATTTGTTGCCAACTATTTGTTTCAAGTAATCATTCGTTTAAAGCGTTTATAATGAACTTATTTAACACTTGATTCACTTATCGATAGGTTTTTCTTGCCATTTGTTTTTGTTTTGCGAGCAAAACCTCTCAGAATGTGATACCGAAGCGTTTGGTCGGCATTACATTCATCGCTCCAAACATTATATCATTGATTCCAGCGATTCCTTCCGTCTTTCTGGCCGTCTCTCCCGTCATTTCGGCCGCAATTGCTTTACTTTACATTGTTTTGAATTTAGTGACAAATATAAGACAAATATTTATAACCATTTATTCGGAGATCCAATGGTCGCGAACTATTGTCCGCAACTATGGTCTCTACACTTTACTCGAAAGCCAATGGATTCGCTTACATGTGCCACAGGTTTGCCATTCATTCAATCATTTAATACACAATGCATTCATTTAACTCTTTTTAAATCTATGCAAAAGGTTTTACGAGTGTTTTGGTTGACTCGGCTCACAGAACAGGCAGTCTTTCTGATCGCAGACTCCACTCATAAGGAATACCTGTCGACCGGAATAATAGGCCTCACATTTGAGAGTCGCATCTTCTGGTCAAATATCAAACAACTTATGGTCAGAGGCTGTGAGACTATAGTTGCTGTTCTCGGAATGACTTCTGTATTGTCGGGCGTTTCTCATCAAATCGGATGTCTTATGCAATCATTTTTATTAGTCGAAGACCCGGAAGACCGCTCTATTGGCACCGTTTCTGCCATTTTGTTCTTTATATTAGCTCTTCAGACGGGACTCACCGGTTTGGACCCCGAGAAGAGGTTTCTACGGCTTTACCGCAATCTGTGTCTCCTCTTCACTGCAATCCTCCACTTCATCCACAATATGGTCAGTCCTTTGCTCTTCTCATTGAGTGCGTCCAGGAATATGTCGATCAACAGACACGGCAGAGCTCTCATAGTGTGTCTGTTCCTCATTGCGTTTCCCATGTATTTCCTGATATATCTTTGGACACATCACGCGGTCTCCACTTGGCTTCTGGCCGTTTCGGCCTTCAGTATTGAAGTCGTCATTAAAGTGAGTGAACATCCAAACAGTCCACTCTTCAGTCATCTCTTCAGTCATTCACACATTTGTCTCATATTTCAGGTCATTATCTCTCTATTAATTTACGGCCTCTTTATGATTGACGCCTTCCGGACCTCAATGTGGGAACAATTGGATGATTACGTCTATTATATCCGTTCGACCGGAAACTCAATTGAGTTTATATTTGGGATCTTCTTATTCTTCAACGGCGCCTGGATTTTGCTGTTTGAATCGGGGGGTACTATACGTGCGCTCATGATGTGTATTCACGCCTATTTCAATATATGGCTTCAGGCGAAGGCCGGTATGTCTGCTCTCAAGTGTTTGCAAATATGTTGGCAACTAATGAACTGATTGTATGGAATGATAGGTTGGAAGACATTCATCAAGAGACGACACGCGGTCCACAAAATCAATTCACTGCCCGAAGCATCTGAAGAGCAGTTGCGTAACTTCGACGACGTCTGTGCGATCTGTTACCAGGAGTTAACCACAGCTCGCATCACAAAATGCAATCATTATTTCCATGGCGTATGTCTTCGCAAATGGCTTTACGTTCAGGACATGTGTCCCCTCTGTCACGAGACCCTCTATAATATCAATGATGGTAACGATCCCAACGATCCAAACGATAATACTAATGATAATCTGATGAACAATATTGAAGGAGTGGGAGGACAGGCGGCCGCACATGAACACAACGATTGAGTCCAAAGTGATAAATGAAATGAATTTAAATATATTTTGAAACTATATTTTGTATTTATTTATCTTTATTTGGATTTGTTTTGTCATTAAGTAAAATATATTAATTCATCTCTTTTTGGAAAATAAATATCGAAATCATTGTGAAATCATATGTGAAATCCGATAATCAAATAATGTATTGACTTTTTATCATTTCAAATGTAATCTATAATTTGGTTTTGTATTCATATTGTCGCTGTATTTAAATATCTGTTTAGTCTATATTTTGTTGAAATTAAATAATTTTTAAATAAAATTTAATATCTTTGTCAGATATACCTGTTTATAGTTATTATTGGAGTGCAATATTGTGTTGAGCATAAAAAGTGTGTCAAAAAAGTGCAAAAAAGTGCAAAAAGTGTGTCCAAAAAGTGCAAAAAAGCTCCGATGCCGGGAATCGAACCCGGGCCTTCTGGGTGAAAGCCAGATATCCTAGCCACTAGACCACATCGGATGGGTGAAAGTACAACTACAACCGCACCACTAATGCATTCACTCACTGTTTACTTGATCACTCGTAATCGCAGTACAATTCAATGTTATCTAACGTGCATTGAATGCAATTTGTGTCTAACAGTTGACACCAATTGCTGTCAAATCCGTGATCAACGCGTTTATCAATCAATTGAATGAGTGTTGCATTCAATGACTCAATGAATGGGAAGTTAACGTCATTTATGTAATGAATGGACGAATGGATGACTTTTTTGAATGAAAAGGCAATCAATAAATAAATGCGTTTTCAATAGACTTTGCAAAGGATTACGGCTTTCATTGCAAACTATTGTCACAATTAGTCACAAATGAGTGTCAATTCGCCATCAAATCTAAGTATTGGTTGTTTTGCTTATGTTTCTCGACAATTGTCTAATGCTTTGAATCCATTGCCGCAGAGAGTCGTCTTCGTGTGGTTCCCATCGACGAGTGGTCGACACGAGAGAAGTTATGTCTCGCCTCCAGTGTCCTCAAGAGTGGCGACCAGAACTGGTCTCATATGCCATGACTGGCAGTAGTGTCACGTGGTGTCTAATCCGTGTCTGTCTTTATGTGTGAAACAGGAGTTCAGTGAGTCGTCCGATGAAGTCGTTCTGTGAGCCGAACCGACCGCAGGACTGGTATCACCAGAAGTACTGTGCGATTCAGTACCAGGAGTTGCTCGAGAAGATAGAGACCGACACTCCGAAGTAACCACTCTTTGAACGCATTGTTTGATGCATTCATTCATGAATTGATTGCTGTTTCAGACGAAAGCGCAGCGAAAGAGGCGAAGAGACGCCGCAAACGGTTATCGTTAGGAATCTCACGAAACAACGCATCGAAGAGTTGAGACAAAAGACACAAATGGAGAGAGAGATGATTGCGAGAGTGAAGCGAGACTTAGAGTTACTGAAGACTAACCAAATGGACGACAAGAGGGTTCAAGAGCTCTGTTCTGAGATTAAGGAGAAGGAGGCGAAGGAAAAGGAGAGAGAAGTGGAGCACAAGAAGTGGTTGGAGGAGAGGAACGTGAAGATCGCGCAGATGACCAGAAAAGGCACGTTTGCCACCAGACATAAACCATCGACGCCCGCAATGCCCGTCCCCTCGCAGACCATCGCTAACGCAACAGTTGCCGAAAGTGCGGTCAAATCACCACTCATTGAACCGCTCAAAGTGGAGGTCGAAAGCGATGGAAACATCACTCAATCGACTGCACAAAAGCAAACCGTCGAGAAGCCGGCGCCCGTCACACCATCGCCATCGACGTCACCACTTCTCACGTCTTTACTACAGAGTCCGACCCCATCGACGCCCACACTATTATCTCCAACAAAGTCTGGTCTCACGAACCCATTTAACCGACAAAAGAGTTCGAGTCCTTTGACTCCCATTTCAAGGCGTCCGTCAATACACTCGACACCAGAAAAGACAACGGAATCGCCGCTTAAGAGCTCAGATAAAAATGACTTAACCGTCGGAAATAGCACTCCGAGTAAGAGTGATGTGAGCGCCGAAAGTGGTGCTCAAAACGAATCCAAGACTGCCGTCGAGTCCTCTAAACTGTCAAAACTTCTGGAATCACCGAATACTGTGAAACCAAAGACTACGACAACTGAAGTGAAGGCATTGGAATCAAAGACACAGATAATGGTATCGAATAAGGAATCGAAACAAACGCCTGAAAAGTGTGACCAATTGAACACTTCTGGGACCACTTCTGAAGAAAAGCGAACCATTAGTTCGAAGAATAAAACTAAGGATTCAAAGAAAGACTCAGAAAAGGGAGAAGAAGTGCATAAAAGAGAGGAATCTAATGAACGATCGCTTCGTAGTAAAGATAAAACGGATGAATCAAAAGGAGACAAACATTTGGCTGAAAAGACTGACGACAAGGAAAGGGAGAAATCAGTTGAGAAGAAACCCGAAGAGACGGCTGAAAATGTGTCGATTAAACAGGAAATAATGGATGCGTTGGCTGACGAAGAATCGCAACACAAAGAAAGCGGGAAACCCGTCGTTAAAGAAGAACCAATGGATTCGACTTCGAGTTCAGTGGCAGAAGATTCCAATCAGAGGACACCATTGACTCGACCCAACAAAAGGGTCCGGAAAACACTGACGCCTTTGAATATTACTCCGACAGTCACTCGAAGGTCCAGTCGTCGAGTGGCTCTCAAAGACACCAAATCAGCAAACGATGACTCGACTGAAGTGAGCGACCAGTCGGCCGCTAATACTCCACAAGCAGTTAAGAAGCGCGGATCAGTTGACGACACGACTGAGACATCGATGAGTGAAGAGTCGATGGACGCCAAGATGCCGGCGACCTCTGCATCCAATGATACCATTCCTAACAGTCCGGCTTCGGTGCGAACGGAAGACATGAAAGAAAGCGATTCTAAAGAGTATAAGACGTGGAAGAAGGCAGTGATGGTTAACTGGAGACTCATCAGCGCTCATAAGAATGCATCGCTTTTCTCGCATCCCGTCACCGAAACTGAGGCCAAAGGCTATGAGGAGATCGTTCGCCGGCCTATGGATCTGAACAGCATTAAGAAGCGCGTTGAGGGCGGAGTCGTTCGCACAACCATTGAATACCAGAGAGATATTCTTCTGATGTTCCAAAACGCCATTATGTTTAACAACGCCAACCATGACGTCCACAAAATGGCTGTCGATATGCAGAAGGACACCATCGCTAGCATCGAGGACTTCATTGCCAACATTGATACCAAAAAACAAGACAATCAAAGCAGTAATGATTCCAAACTAAGAGATCGCGGCCGAAGAAGTAATGCGCCCATCATTGCCACTCCAGTTGGTCCCGAGGTATGATATGATATGAGTTATTATTTTCACTTACCGTACAATTAACCAAATTATGTGTCAACAGAATGAGATGTCTATTCGCCGCAAAAGCAGAGGCGCCTCCACTGACACCGATTCCAACGCTTCCAGTCTTACAAAGTCTGTGACCAAGAAGAAGAAGACTTAAACAAGACTTGATTTTGTGGCCAAACATTGATTCTGTGAATCACACTAAATGTTTGCAACACTTTAGTAATATAAGTCAACTATTTTTTTGACTCCAATTCCCATTCAATGACTGTATTTCGTAATAAAGTATTAAAACTTGATTTTTATTGAATTGTCTGCAAATGAGAGCTTTTCATCATTTCTTCCACTTTTGATATAATTATTATTAAATTTTACAAAATAATTACAAAACAAGTCTTGGGTTCGAGACATGGGTTGCTTCGGAGGTCATAATGGACTACATCTGAGTGTTATGTTTGGTGTCATCCAAAGTGGTCCTCAATTCCTGCAGATGTCTGAAGCACTTCTGAATCAATGGCTTAATTGAGTGCAACTCAGCTTTGGTGGCGTCGTTGAGAGTGACGTCACCGATGAAGAGCTGGTGTTTGTGTTGCGCCACTCGGAACAGCTGGTGGGCCGACAGCCGCAGAATGGCTTCTCGGCGTTCAATGAGTTCGGAACAGTTGACCGAAGAGTTGAACTCTTGCTCCAAGAGTTTCAGTACTTCTCGCCAGTGATTGTCGGGCATTGGTATGAGTTTCTCGCTGTCGGTCTCCTGTTGGTCCTGAAGGAGTGGCAGGTCTTGGATCCATTGGGGCACTCGAATGGTGCACTTGTTCTGGCGGTGAAGATTGAATGCCATCCACAGCGGCACCCGAACCGGAATGGAGGGCTGGAACGGCCCGAAGTCACCACTGATTAGATTCAGTGCTTTGTTGTACTTGAAGAGCGGTATGATCTCAATGAGCGACTCCTCCGCCAAGAACTCACAGAAATCCATGTCTTGTGTTCACGTCCAACACCTCCAACACAACTGATTTGGTGTCCAATGAATGCAAATCACAATCAAATCCAACACTCATTCAAAGCACAACTCATTCATTGATTCGCGCTTTTGTTGCCAAATGAGTCGATTCATGAACGATGTTATCATTTGGAATTCCCTTTCATTCCCTTTCAGTGAAAGGCTTTCACAACCATTTGCTCGCATTCTTGCGTTCACTGCGAACCCCACCCCCACTCCCATTACGTTACGTGATGTGTGAATGTCTGACAAATTCTTAGCAGGCATTGACTGTTTGTAAACAAAATATCATTGAATTAACCATTTGTTGATCAATTGAATGATCACTGAATTGGTATGAAATGTCGGACACAAGTGAATCTCAAAGCAATGGTTTGCAGACATCGACCAAAACACTGTGGTTTGAGTTCGTTCTTCAGCCACAACTTCTGGATTCGCATCTGACGGACAAAACAAGTCCACAACCCTTTGAATTGATTACTCAACTCTTGACCAACGCGTTGACCATTTCCTCCTCGTCTTTGTCTTCATTGGCCGCTAACACCAACGGAACCGATGAGACAAACGGCTTGTCCTCCACTTCATTACAACAGCAAACTGTGGACTCAATTAAGAAAGCGATGGACAACAAGAAGAGTTCGGCCATAAGGCACCTGTCGTTCAAAATAATGGCTCATTTGAAGTGGGATTTGAGTGAATTCGAGGACAATCTTCCGCCGACACAACAAGACTTCCTCTTAAGCGAACTGATCCGCTATTGTGATCAACACAAGAGTCCCACCGGTTGTAAACTATTCGCTTGTATTCTCTATTATCGATGGATTTTGCGATATATTATAAAATCTAATTATCCGACAAAAGCACCGAAAGGACCGCCAATTCCTCTCACTCTTCAGCAACAAATAGATCCCTGTTTTGTGTCCAATGAAGCGCTCGAACTCTTACTCAAGAAACTAATGGATCAGCACTTGATTGCTGTGACAGATCTCGAGAAAGTGATAATAGAGAAGCAAAAGGGCAGTAAAGTAGAGGTAATAATGCCTTCATTTGAATGCTTTACCAACACTTCGGACAATGAGTTTGTGTGCGATTGGAGTAAATGCGTGAAAATAGCGACCAATGATGTCATGGATGACATCCTCTACGACATCGGCCGATGGTTTTTCTTTCGCGAAGATTATTACAAATCCAACACTTATTTCGAAACCATTTCAATGCGAAATAGGAGTCAATACATCCATTTGAATGAATTCTTGAGCTCTACTCGAGATCTAATATCAGATCCCAAGCGACAGGCGATTGACATCGAAATCATTGATTTTGACAAACAGGCGGAGGAAGCCATTGAACAGATAATGAATGGACACACGTCTGACATAACCATATTTGAGAATTTGGTTGATGTCAACGAAATCCATAAGATTCTTGTGAATGCATTCAAGAAATGTGTGGACAATAGGCGGAAGAATCGACTCTTAAGGCTCACGAAATACTTGTCGAACAGAATCAAGGGTTTGGACGAAGAGGTGAATAAAACAATATTTCGTAAATCAGACGATAAAGTGACAGAAATAGTGATCGATTCGAGCGATTCAGAGATGTATGAAGAGGGAGAGATAGACGGCGACGACGACCACCTCATTAAAGACCCCGAACTCCTTCTGCTGGAGGCCACTGATCCGGAAGTGATTCAAGGTTTGGTCTCAAAGACACAAAAGCATCCGCTAATGATTAACAACAAGTGGAGTCTACCGACGACTCAAAACAAACACTTGCAGGGCTTGTCTCAAAGCCAATACGACAAATGCCATCTCATTCTCGCCAAAGCTAACCAACTGAGAAGTGCTAACCTCTTCACCGAATCCCGTGTCCTATATCTCTCACTCTTTGAAGACATTCAGCTCTCATTACCAGAGTTAGCGAAAGCCATTAATTGGGAACTATTGAGGACTGATTTGGAGAAGCATTTCAATACGACTGATGTCGATGAGCGACAAAACTATAATCTGATGGCAAAGTGTGTGAAGACTCTGACACAAAAGGATATAAAGAATTGGGCGATGGAATGGTCACAACTCACTGAACTCTGTTGTGTTTTTCTGTTGGAGAGATATCCACAGAAACTCAAAGAAATCTACAACACATCGGTTCCAACAGTTAAGTTCTCGTCAGCTCTCAGTTGGCTCGCCTTTGAGCCCATTTCCAACTCCAACGCAAATATAGCTAAAGACTTGTGGGAAATGGTTATCAATATGTTTGCCAACACGGGTCCCACTAATAAGAAATTAGCGCCACTTCCATCTGTTTCCACGCTTTCATTCTCCAACTCTTTTGTCAGTTTTGTGTCTCAATTCAAAGTGACAGAACTTATTGCTCTAATCATATCGTGTTTATCGAGAATATTGAACTTAATTCGAGACAATCCTTCACAAGAGCTCACAATTGATCCTCAATTGGCTCTCCTGTGGCCCTCATCTTTAAGCCAGTCTTTGAGCTCAACTCTCGACGCAAACAGTGTTTCCTCGACTCTAAACAAACTTTTAGACGAATTTCTGAACCAAACTCCAAATGAAGTATTTTTATTGAGATGTAGAGCAGAGTTGTGTCTAATCGATGGCTTATACGCCGATTCCATCAAATACTTTACACTCGTTTTGATGATTAACACGAAATTCTTCACGAGTTTTAGTAATTCGTATTCAGAAGAGGAACCAATAGTTCAGCGAATGATTCAGTGCTGCGTTAGGCTGTGCTGTCACACACAGGCGGCCCTCTTGTATCAGTTAACCCGCGAACCGAACTATGCGCTCGCATTCAAAGCGCTGTCGGAACGGGTGTGCAATGACTCGTGCGATGACTTATATGAGTGCATTTGGGACACAACTCTCCTCGAGTTCCTCATTCACCTGCACTCCAGACGCGGCGAAACCGAACGCAAGACTAAAGCCATTCAACTGATCGGTCAGTTGGAACTCAACGCCAATAACAGTCAACCCGTGCTCAGAGAGGCCGCAGACGTCCGCAGAGGTCGACTCATGAGGATCTTCGCCCGCACTTACCTTTAAACCATTCATCTGACCATTGATTCATTGATTCTATTTATTTTTGTTTTACAATCAAATTAAACACAAATTTTGTAATTCATATACAGTTTAAGTTAATAATAAATATTTAATTAATTTAAAAGTCCTACTGTGTGCTCATTTAATTTACCAATTATTTTAATATTTGGTACTTTCATATATTTCATTTTAAATTAAATAAATTATTTTGTGATACATTTTTAACGTTTTAAATCAAATTCAAATGTTGACAACCTCTGAGGGATACCTTTCCTTTAATTATAGATTCCCGTTCATTGCATTCATTAATTGCCATTAAATATAACTTTTCGGTCGATAATGGATGCCTATATACACAGAGATATTTGATTACATATTAATTACAGGTTATTGTATAATACTATCTACAGTACATACCAGTGACCGAATGTACAGCCGCTGTCAATTTTGGTGTCATAATAATGGCATTTATCACTCAATCTCAGTGAAGGAATGTATTCATAAATATCAACTTTGGAGCAAATGTTAAGTAAAACAATAATTCCTAAGAATCCAGAAGTGGGAGGATTCTTAGGAATCGAGTTCATTGTCGATCTCTGCAATAAGTCCCAAGATTTCCAAATCATTTTTGGATCTAATATACCAATTGTTTCATTTGGATATATTCTAAGCAGTCTCTCATATGATTCAAAGAATTTTCGACTTTTATTAAACCATTGATTGCCATCAAAGTCATAATCAGATGAGTCCCACACAAACTTCAATCCAATTCTATAGAGATTTTGTGACAAAATGTTGAATTTGGGATTCAATAGGATCTGTGCGTTAAGTAAACGGATTGTGGTCTTAGAGCCCACATCTGTCTCGTAGCGAAGTGTCGGCGCGTTATTAAATCTCATGACAATGTCGTGCGAATCAATCTCTTCGCCTAAAGTAGAGTCAATCAAAGAACCAGAACTCGAGACAATGGCACAGTTGGCACTCATTCTTCTGTTATTGTCATCACTTAGTACACCAGAAATGCTTTTATATTGAAAGTCTTTAAAAGAACCGGAATTTCTAGACTTCGTAAGAATATTGACATTAATATCACACAAGGAATTGAGACTTGGAGTCAAGGAATTGATTTTGCCATTGAATCTAACGTTATATAAATTATTGTAATTTTTTTGAGACGTTAAATACTTAATGAGATCAGATTCAGATCGTCTTAATCTCGTTATTAAACGATTCCGAAATGAATCCAATTCTTCATCGGATGTGTTATTATATTTGTTTAGTATGTAATCGTTTGATGGAATATTGAATTTAAATTTTCCTATTTGCTTATTATTGGACATCAAATTAAATACATTTGAAAATATAAAATTTCTCGAAAGGGGTTTATTTAGATAGTTTGACACAATTAAATAAATATAGATATAAATGGTTGAGATAACCAGTATAGTGAACACACATAAAAAATATCCTAATAATCGCATTATTATAGAAAGTAATTGCTATTAAAACGTCACCAATTTTTAAATGAAATAAATAAATAATTATAATTTTTAATATTTTAGTTATTATAATAATACAGTATATCGGAAATTGTGACAACAGAATATTTAAAATATTTTATTCTTACAGAATTCATTCACACGAATCACATGTTGTAATCAATATATCAAATAAAGCGCAAAGTTTAAAATCTAAGAATTACAAGAATTGGTACTGGATGCAATTTATATAAAAATTACAGAATTTCAATAAATAATTAGAAATAAAGCAATAATTCATTTATTTATTCATTGAAAATTAAACAATTTGATTGTGTAATAAAATTACAAATAACTAAAAATATACAAAACAATTACAAGACATCTCCAGAGTCTTCATAAATAGGTTTATGATTTTCATAACACTTTTGAAGACTATCTTCGCTAATATATTGTCCATTGAATGCATGAATAGACAAATCATTGAATATATTTTTGGGACAAAAATTATTGTCAATATTGGTTTCAATCAAAACATTTGTAAAATCACCACAATTTGTAATATTAAACAAATAATTCAAGTCTTGTTGAGCACTACTAACCGATGCAATGGTTTCTATCATTTGATGAAAACTATTGCCAAATATAATCATTTGATTCAATTGTCTTGTCGTCCAATTAGACCACAAGAGGTTATTGAAGAGACTTTTGTCGCAATGAGGCATAAAAAACATCACCATTTGATCCACTGAAGAGTCAATTGAATGCATACACTGTTCATTCATTTCAATCATTTTAAATTTTAATCCATTTTCAAGAAATTGAATCTCATTTTGAGTGAAAATGGGATCAAAAATCAAAACTTCAGGAGTTTTTGGACAAAACTGGCGAAGAATGAGAAGAAGTGATAATTGATATAAAGAGTCAATACTTGTGGAGAAGTTTCCCAAACCGTAACAAATAATATGAGATATTTTCGACACCAAGAGTGAGCCATTTGTGCCATACTTTCGGTCAAAGCATGTGTTGATTGCACACAAGACGTGATCCGAAAAATGGCTGCCATTTAGGTCTTCAACACATGAATCCATTTTAGTCTTCATTTCATTCAAATCCAAAACACTTTCCTTTGAAATCGCTTTCAAATCATTCAATAATTTCAATGCATTTCCGCTTATCTTATATTTGCGTCGATTTCGTTGTCTCCGACTTCTTGTGGTGTTGACACAAATGAATCCATCGTTTGTCTCACAATTCAAAGACATTTCAAACACACAATTAATTCAATTATATATGAATTGAACTCAAAATTCATGTAAACTTTAAAAGTCATCAAAAAACATGTGATTTGTTGTGAACACAAAAGTTTGTATACTTTGTTGTCATAGAAACCAATGATTGACTCAAACTTTGAAACTGACTGTGAATTGGAAATCAAAGTTCATTTGGTTTTGCATTTTGATCGTCAAATCAGTGGTCAGATCCTATGCAGTGATGTCTTCTTTTGCCACTTTACCACTCAATTATCCCAAAGCCATCAGAAAATTGGACGAAACAGTGGTCTCCAGAATAAATGCCGGAGAAGTGATCCACAGACCCGTCAATGTTGTCAAAGAGCTGATTGAGAACAGGTTTGTCACCAATTGGTTCCACTAAGACATTGGTTACCACTAAGACATTGATACCAATTGAATGATGTGTTGACAGTCTGGACGCCAACGCCACAGCCATTGAGGTGACCGTCAAGGATGGAGGAATGAAATCAATTGTCATTCAAGACAATGGATGTGGTATTCGTGTAATGAATTGATTTACTTTTCAAATACTTAAGTATCAAACGTTTGGATCAATTGTTTGATTTGTGGTACAGAAAGAAGACTTAGAGATAGTCTGCGAGCGGTTCACGACATCTAAGCTACAAGTGTTTGAAGACTTGCTTGAGATGCAGACGTATGGCTTCAGAGGTGAGGCATTGGCGGCAATCAGTCATATCTCTTATGTAAGCATTTTGACGAAAACTTCGCAACAATTTTGTGGATTTAAACTACAATTCACTGACGGAAAGCCCAAATCAAATGTGGTTCCCATGGCTGCCAACGACGGGACAGTGATTACTGTGGAAAACCTTTTCTATAACTTAGTGATGAGAAAGAATGCATTGAATTCCTATTCACACGAATATAATCTCATTCTCGAGTTATTAACCAAATATGCGGTCAATAACTCAAACAAAGCCGCCTTTTCTCTCAAGAAATTTGGAGACAATTGTGATTTGAATACAAATATAGAGAACAAAAGCATTGAAAACATTAGAGGACTCTATGGCGCAAACATTGCCAACAATTTGAGTGAACTCTCATTTGAAGACTCGAATCGACTTAAGTTTTCTATGACTGGCTTTACTTCCAATCAGAATATCCATCAAAAGAGTTTTGTATTCATTTTGTTTATTAACAACCGATTAGTCGAGTGCTCATCACTTAAGAAAGCCATTGATTTGGTTTACAGTAATTATCTGCTGAAGAGTTGTCATCCATTTGTGTATTTGGACATAAAAATCGATCCAAAGAATGTTGACGTCAACGTCCATCCCACCAAAAATGAAGTCCATTTCCTTCACGAACAGGAAATTTGTGAAAAAGTTGTGCAAATCATTGAAAGCAAACTCACAGACGGCAGAGAAACACGTCGTTTGAATACTGAACCAAATCCTCTGATCAATGCATCGTTTTCCCAGATCTCGATGGCATCGGTCGATGAAAGTCCTAAGAGAAACACAAATGAAAAATGCGTTCAAATGAATAGAAAGAGTCCTAAAGTGTCGCACACAGAGACTACTCCTAAGAGACCACACAAACAGATCCGCACCGATAGTAAAGACAGAAAAATCGACGAATACTTATTGAATGCAAAGAAAATGAATAAAAGTAGAAGAGATCTCAAACTGAACAGTGTTTCATCCCTTCGACAAAAGGTGTCCGAAGAGAGTGATAGTCGTCTTCAGGAGATGATATGTAACTCGTCTTATGTCGGGTGCGCTGACGAGACGTTTGTTTTGTTTCAATTCGAGACACAACTGCTATTAGTGAACGCCTATAATCTGAATATCGAACTCTTCTATCAGCTCTTTCTCGTGGATTTCGGCAATTTCGCCAAAATTAGATTTCGTAAACCATTACTAATCTCTGATTTAGTGAAACCATATATTGAAGAACTGAATAAAAGCATAGATTCCGACACTCAGAGCAGTCAAACACTGGATGTGACCCAAATCGAGACCATTCTTATGGGAAAGAGTGAAATGCTTTCCGATTACTTCTCACTTGATATTAGCGCCGACAGACAATTGATTAGTTTACCCATAATTCTGGAGGGATTTATTCCCAACTTTGCATTTTTACCACAATTTCTCTATAGTTTGGCAAAAGATGTCAATTGGGATAAAGAGAAGGAATGCTTTGAAAGTATTGGCAAAGTTTTGGCCAATTTCTATGCAAAGCCTCCCAACAAATTCAACTCCAATTTAGATCATCAAAAGTGGGCTAAAGTTGTCGAAAGTGTTATATATCCCAAATACAAACAACTCCTATGTCCGCCAAAACGACTTTCAGATAATTCAACATTTTTTGTGACAACAAGACTCTCGGATTTATATAAAGTATTTGAAAGATGTTAATAAATCAAAACATTTATTGCTGTAAATTTAATAAAATTTCTATTTTCTAAATCATTAATTAGTTTTTAAATATAAAACTTAATTCTCAAACAATTTTATGAGTTTTCTGTTACTTATTTGGCACCAAATCATACAAATCTTCGGAATATTTGATAAGCAAATCAATGTCTTCACAATGTTTTCGTAAAGGATTTGGAATCAAATCGTTTCCATAGAGAGCGCCGGCAATACTACAGGCCATGGAGGCGATAGTATCGGTGTCACCGCCCAATGATAACGCGAAATATAGTGTCCGCACAAAAGGGTTCGTACTCTGGAAGGCCTCAATGGGTGTCTGACCCCTCAAAACGGAATATATGGCAGACGGGACTGACTTGAGTGCCGACACATCATTGCCCAGAATATAGGCCACCTTTTCTCCCGACAATTCATTCACTTTGGTTTGGCTCTCAAAAATTTTCTTAATTTTGTTGAGTTTATCAGTAAATGGAGTTTCGGGAACTCCATTGGATTTATTATGCGAGTCATTGTTATCAGTTTCCGTACAAATAGTTGTCTCGACTTTTTGCATCTTTTCGATCAAACTATTGAGATATACGTTGACATCAAATGAGTGATCGGTTGGCGACGACTGTGTCTGCAAAGCCTCGCGAATGGCCAGACATTGAAGAATAGCGCCGTTATATCCGTTTCGGTTTGAATGAGTGATTTTGGCGCAATTGGTCGCCAACTCTATTAACTCGGCGTCCGATAAGTGAAAGCCAAAGAGGGCCACAGGACTGGTCCTCATCGCCCCTCCGTTCCCATAACTGCCCGAACCATTGAACTGAAGGCGCGCCGGTTCGTAGGGGTACTCGTAATGGGTGTGCCGTAAAGCCGCGAACACATCCACGACATTACCTCCGTATCCCCTCTTCGGGTCTTTGAAGTACTCGACGGAAAACCTTTTGGCCATATCTTTGGCGTCAAAGCGTTTCAATTCAATGAACGATTGGGCCATCGATTTAGTCATCGCTGTGTCATCAGTGAAGGGGAACATCTGAAACACTACTCAAATGCACACCAATTAGTCACTCAATCATATCAGCGATGGTTTGTCTCACTTTTGGCCGATTCCTCCAATTGTTTGGTCAGAAAGTTATACAAAACCGATCGACTGATAGGGTTGTCGGCCTCGAAGGGTGAGCCCAGACAGTCGCCAATGAGTCCGCCCGCAAGACATCCGCGAAACTTATTCACCAGATTTGCCACCGAAGAAGACATTTGTGACTTGAATGACACAAACTGTGACCAAGATTTCAAAGTTTATGTATTTTTGAGAAACTGTCAAAATATTGCAACTATTTGTTTGCAAATTAAATGAATTAACTGTAAGTTTGTGTGCATTTGAAGTGCAATGCAATGCAATGAGTGTTCATTTGACACAAACTTCACCCAAAAGCTCACGTTTTTGTAAACAAAAAGTTGTTTTCATTGCAATCGATACACAAGTATCGCAACAAAAATCATATGTTTTGTGACAATATTTACAGTCAACTCAACACAAGTGCTCACAAATTGACCGCAAATTCACCACAAATGACATGAAATTTAAATTTCTTAAATCAAAGTCACTTTATGTGACCATTGGATCCGTTTCATTGATATCCAGGTCTTTATTCACGTCTAATAAAACTTAAATTAACGTAACATTCAAATGGTTTGTTTAGTTTCGGGTATTTAAGCCATCGTTTGGTCACAAAATACAACTTCTTCGCCAAGAATGACATCAAATCCGTGTCTTTAGATGAGAACAAAGATTATATTTATTTGACTGAAGAGCTCAGTAATGATTACTCGGAGGACTTCGGGTCTTCGCAGTCGAGTTCAACTCATTTGCAATTATTGGGATTAATTGAGTCAACAAGTGGTGACAATCAGGTCTCTGAGGCCGCCTTTTCTGCCATCACTTCCACTCTTTTCAATGGTTTTTATAATTTGTCTACACTTTTCTTGACTTTATTTGAATTTATTTAATACATAAAACATAATTGAGTTTTGAATGCATATATTGTGCAGACTTTCAATACCGAGAAATCGCCCAAAACTGTCATTTCAAGACTGGTCTACGTCTGGCCCGAACTCCAGGCGTGTCCTCCAAACTCTTTTTGCCGCCACTGAAGACTCATTTCTTGAGAACAACTACTAGTCCTGAACCGGTCTATGATTTTAACCAATTTCTACTAAATATGTTCAAAAAGGCCCACAAATCCGGTGACCACTGCTCTGAATGCACTAAACTATTCACTGAATTATCAATTGAAATGTTGGAAAGAGGACGACATTCTCGACAATTGGATGAATCCATTGATTTCAATGACATCCATAACTTCTTTAAATCACTTTTGAGTCACAAAACTCCGGAAGTGGATTGGCTTTACTTACAGGCAATCGGTCAGAATATTCTGTACGACAAAACTCAGTGCCAAACACTGGTCGACAGCGGATTGTTTCTGGTTTTGCATTATTTGCGAAACAATTTCTCTGATGAGAAAGTCCACGACTGGGTCGCACAGACATTGGCTAACCTCAGCGTTCACAAGGAGTTTCACTCACACTTTTGGTCCACTAATTGGTTCGCAGTATTAGTTGATTGGCTTCAATCGGATCGACTCGAGTGGAGTCTCTCTGCGGCCAAAATACTCCACAATTTAAGTGAAGACTCGAGTGACCACTTGTTTCCCGAATCCATATACTTATTGCATCCTTTATATTACGACACATCCAACAAGAACTTTGATATAGTTATGGTTCACGGATTACTCGGCGGTACTTTCAAGACATGGAGACAATGTGATACAGAAAAAGATACCAATGCTTATACCCGATGTTGGCCTCAAACATGGCTCGCAGCAGAAGTGCCAAACTTACGATTACTATCTGTGAATTACCAGACATTTGTCAGTAATTGGAATATTGAATGTCAGGACAACACAAGTGTTTTCACTTTAAAACAAAGAAGTTCTCAGTTATTAAAAGACTTGCTCTCGAGTAGAGTCGGAGAAAAGCCCATCATTTGGATAACGCATTCAATGGGAGGACTAATTGTCAAACAAATGCTCGTCGATATCAATGAAAGTAATGATCCGAAGCTTAAGCCAATACTAAACCAAACCAAAGGAATAGTCTTCTATTCAGTTCCACATAAGGGCTCAGATATAGCCGTTTGGACCCCTTATCTCCAGAGAATTATATCCCCGTCGAGTGAACTCTTGGAACTCAGGAAAGGTTCAAAATCTCTTCTTTCACTTCACGAAAGATTTGTGAAAATGATTGAAACTCAAGGAATCGCTTGTCTGAGTTTCGGTGAAACTCTTAAGAGTAGTATTCTTCAGCGTCCTTTTAAGTGGAACCGACTGTTAGGTAATGTCTGAATCTCATAGTCATTTACTGTATATCTAATGTTTGTGCCATTCAAGTGCCCAAAGACTCTGCAAACCCAGACATCGGTCACTTCCATCTCTTAGATGAAAATCATTTCAATAGTTGTAAACCAAAACACAAGACTTCCGATAGTTATCGAATGGTTTTGCATTTCATCAAAAGTATTGTCAATAGAAATAAAGGCGATGGCGATGGGAGTGACGATAAAATATCAGTTTTATTGTCGTCTACATTCACATAAACATTATCTCAATTATACTGTATTGTAATTTGTTACTAAAATACTTCACCAATTTTCACAAAACATTTTGACATTTTTAAAAACTGAGATTTTTATACCATTTAACAATTTGTGATAAATTCATGCAAACTATTCCAAAATAAAATCCTAAAGTAGTAAACATTGAGCGGAATGTTAACAATAAACAACAAATTCGTTGAAATGCAGTAATTATAGGAATCAAAGAGTTATTTCTCGGAATCGACCACAAGTTCTGTCTGTCCATCGTTGGTGACCAACGCGACTAATGTTCCCGTTTTGGGTCTATTGTCTGAATTGTCGGCCCATTTCCACATCAATTCGGCCGCAAATTCTAATGGCGTCCACTTAGAGGTGTCTCCACCCGGCATAAACTTGCGGTTCATTGGAGTGTCAAAAGTGACCGGAAGAATGGCCAATACGGTTGAGCTCTTTGGAAGGCCGCCCTTCTTATCACTTAAACTCTTCACTAAGTGATGAACCGATGCTTTTGCTAACCCATAGCCAATCATTCCTGTAAACAAATCACGCAAATAACTGGTTATAATATAAAACAAACAATTGGTTCAATTCATTGGTATATCAAACCTGGAGTGGCGTCGAGTGCGGCTTTGGCTCCGGTCAGTGCCAAGAGTCCGCCTTCGCTCAAGAAATTTGAGGCCAATTTGGCTGAGATTACAGAACTCCAGAGACTCTGTTTGATCATCAGATCTGTATTCTTGACAAAATCTATCAAATCAATGAAACGTTACTTAAAAATTTATTCCCAAGTTTTGCATTCATATGAAACCTTCGGATGAAGAGGAACCTCCGGCCCACCCGCCGGCCACACACACCACGGCATCCACTTTATTGCCGTCCAATACGTCGGTCACCCCATCGACCACTTCTTTCTCCTGAGTGGTCCACTCATTGGTATTCTTAATGACCACATTCTCATTGGCCTCACTATTGGCTACTAAATCAACGGATGTCACCCACTGTTGCATGCATTGGAAATTGAGTTTAATATTGTATTGAATACATACTCCATAATCATCTATTCATTCAATTCATTCATTTAGACTTAATCCACATTAACTCTACGTCAACGCAATTCCGTAATACTGTAAGTAAGATAGCTCTCTATAATATAATATATCGATAATATTTGGCAAATTTGGTTAAATCTACTAACTACAGTAGTAAATCTAATACATAATTAATCAAGTATCAAGAAATCTCATTTTAAACTAGTACTACTTTCATTGGTAAATTACACTATTTTAAATTAATTTATAGGATTTTCACTTCAGTAATTCATAATTGGATATATTCAATATATTATATTGTAATGTGTAATTAATTTTAAACATTGAGAACTTTTAATTTTAAATTCTTATTTAATTTGTTAATGAATTTTAACGGTATTTTATTTTATATGCAGTAATAAAATAAAGGAATATTCTATATTACAGTACTTATCTACCGGTACATAGTATTCAATTGAAAATATTAATACAGTATTATCATAATATTAGCACAAATTGTTGTACAGTAAGAATGTTGACTGTAGCTAACATTGAATGTAACAGTGTAGCAATAATTATTATTGTTTCAATTTGTTACACAATCATAATGAACCCAGATTTTGTGGTCACCTTTTATAGCTTGAAAACTTATATCATCAGTAATAAATTATTTGGCTTTAATAAGCTAAATAAGTGACAATAAATATTATAGAATTATTCTATATATACCACATTCAATAAAAACATGGATTTATGAAATAAAAAGGGGAGTTTACACTGTAAACTTTACAGTATTAATACATCCACAGAATTTGTATTCAAATGAATTTCTGGTCATTTTGAAAAGCATTTCGATATAATGTAAGATTCATTTGATGTGTTTTTGTTATAAATTAAGTTTTCCTGTACTCGTAATTGCTTTGAAGGTTGACATCAAACATAAATTGTCACAAAAATGCTATT